GTCAGGTGTTATAAGGTTACAAGTGTTCTGGTCTTATTTTATTGAAAAGCATTGAACAATACAAACTTGTTTTAACTGGACATGAGGTAGTGCTCACAGACTTTTGTCTAGGTAGATGAGATTGATGGATAAGATGAGCTTAAGTACCAGCCGTCCAACCCATCTCCCAAAATTAAAGGGGCAATATTATGTGTTTCTCAGGCATACATTTAAATACTATACCATAATAAAGTATTTATAGTTGTTATTAAAATGCTTTTTTTATTTTTAAATAGAAAATAAACTTATCTTCACATCACTTCCTCTTCTAAACGCCTTGAAATTGTCCTCTGTCTCTTTAAGAACCACCTTCTGCTTCTGTCTCGTCCATTTCAGTGTGTGTGCGTGTGTTGGGGGGGTTGTTTTGCGCGCGCTATGATGCAGTTTACTTGGCATCTGAAAATACATTTCCTCAAAGGTATTTTGAATCTGAAAAGAGCTTCACTGAGAGAGAAATAGTGTTGAGAGCTCAGCAGAGTTTAAGTTTCRCTTTCACTTTGCTTTGTTACTGCTGAGAGCCTGCAGGAGTCATGGGCAGGGTGTGTGGGGTGGGGGTGGGGAGGTGTGCTTCGTGATGAGGAAGTTCGGCTTAAAAAGGTGTTTCTAGTCCCTACCTGTGGTTTTGCTCCTCAGCATGGCTTCCTAAAAATGCTGCAGGATTTCTCAAACATGCATGAATGAGTCAAAGCAAGGCTTTGGGCATGTTTTTTATGAGAGTATAACATTATAACATGATTTAAACTCAAAAAAGTTGATTTTACATGATATTGGCCCTTTAAGGAAATCGAGGTGATTTATCGGTGCATCCCTAGTTCATAGGTTTGGTTTCACTGCTCACCTAAATCCTCCACCTGAATGTTTCTGGTCCAGGGTCCACGAGGGAAGGTCTGGATGGAGCAGTGGTACTCCCCAATATCCTGATGAGTCACGTTCTTCATGGAGATGCTTCCATCCATTGACGACTGCCTCAGGAACTCCAGTCTGTCTCTGTAGTGGTGAGAGAAAGACTCTCCAAGGTCTGGATGGAAAACAGCCACAGGGGTAGAGTCCGGCACTTTGGTCCAGGACACCATGGTCAGTTTACCGTCCCAGGGACACAAGCAGCTGAGGACCATCCCCTCCTCCAACCGAACCACATCGACTTCTTTCTGCTGGACAGCAACTGGACAGAGAGGGGGGCGAGGARGTGTCTGTTTACATCTGAATTATGACACAAATGACATCACAGCTTCTATATGGTTAAAATTTATTTAGTATAAAAATCATTTCAAATAATAAATTATCTTATTTATGTGATTTATAGAAAATAGGTGTACAGTACTGGGA